TGCTTCCCAGGGCGTTCCGGGGTGGGGCGGGGCGGGGGCCGGGCCGGGCCGCATCCTCGAGCCACTATGTGGAGGCCCCGTGTGAAAGCCTGCAGGGGGGGGGGCTAGGGGCAGCCACACACAGGTGACCCGCTGCTGCTGCCGGACGGGGACGACCACTTGTTCGACACCACACCGGTACCACACCACTGAACTCGCGCCAGCGAGGGTGGTTATAAGTTGGTTGGTTGGTCATACTGATACAGCGGGTTCTATGATGCAAATTATTATTTTATTAAAAAAACAATAATGTGAAAATGTGTGAGGGGTCATTCAAGTCACGATTGTTTTGTTTTCTCTTTATACGTGCGTGTGCGTGCTGGAGATCCGGTCGAGTGAGAAACGCGCTACAGTCTGCACTTATACTTTTTATCCACGGCACTTTTTCAACGAATTGACTGTTATTTTCATCACGTTGGAAATAACTGAATTTTCTCTCGTGTTGATGTTGTGAGTGATTTTGTTTTTGAGGCGACCAAGTGGTTTTTTGGGGAGGGGTCTCAGGGTGGTGGGGAAACCGAAATACACCCGAAATAGACGCGAAATAGTCGGTATAATAGTGGCGAAATACCGCGAAATATCGTGAAATAATCCGAAATAGGCGAGAAATAACCGAAATGGCATGAGAAATAACCGAAATGGCAGGAGAAATGCCATGGAATAGCCCGTACGCCACGAACCCAAGTGATTTCTCCCTCAGGAGGACGTGCGATATGTGCACTATGGCTTATCAGATCGGGGCAAGGACAAGGACGGTCCGAGTGTGGTCAGGTCTGGTATGGGACACACTTTGGGCCTCCTCACCCGGCCACTTTCATCCTCGGCCAGTCCAGTCCCCTCACGGTGGAGAGAGGAAAGTGGCCGCGAGGAGCTGTTCAAGGAGAACAATGAGAAATCCATCCGCGAGAAGCCTGCACTCGCCGGCGACCGCGGGGGTACACGACAAAAAAATTAAAATAAAAACATTTGTCATCAGAGACGGGGATTAGTTTGCCAGAAAAATTAAGATTAAAATCGTGATAAATTAGTCACACAAAACCTGTGAGCTTGAGCAAATAATTTGGGTTCTGTTACCGGCAACAAATTGGTTGTTCAGACACCTGTTGTCCACATTTTTATTAAATATTCGTGTGAGTTCAAAAAGTATTTTTTTTTTAAAAACCAAGTCCTGCTCACGCATTGCGTTTCTTCGTACTCATCCTGCGATTTGTGTGGCTGCCAATAAAACATAGTCTGCACATTTCAGTGATTAAACATTGATTTGTTGTTGAGAGGATTAGGAGATCAGGTACATGAGCTGTCTTCCGGGAGAGCTGAGGGATCCCTTGGCGTCTGATGGTCGCTGTACGGAACCGGTGTGCTTGTGTCGCCTACGACTTGGTAGAGGTTTAAGTACTAGAGCTGGAAAATTTCCAAAATTTTCGGGAAGATTGTCGAAAAATTTCGGTAAATTTCCGGAAAATAACAGAAAACTTCCGAAATCTGGAAAATTTTCCACTTTTCCCGGAAATTTTCCGGAAACTTTCCAAGGCTTCCAACCTTAGTAAGTACCATGCTGCGGACTACTGCCTTGCAGCTGGGGGCCCACACCAGTGAGTGCACCACGTGACCGACCGGTGGGCAAGGACGCCGTGATGGGCGTCGACCATAGGACTGGACGGACCCATCCGCCCCGCGACCTGCCCGACCAAGGCTATAGAGCGAGTGGTCACGGTTCAGTGGTGCAAAAATAGAGAAAAACAAAAACTATGCTGACTAATGTAGTTTATTGCGCGCACCTCTCTTCTGATGACAGGAATTTTACGAGTTGTCCAGCTTACCAATTGAAGGTGTTTGTTTTTTTCAAATCTCTTGAGAGGGTATGTCAAAGAAATTGGCGGGGAATTTAAAATCGAATGACATATGCAAGGTTTCAAAACGTTTGGTGGATACGCGGTAGAAACGATGTCCTGGTTTTCATGACGTTTGGAAAAACCAAGACGTTCCCGCGAAGCATTTCTTGCACAAGACACCAGGGTCGTTTTCACCATGACTGACTGCGACTACCCCACACTACACTACACTTTTCCGATCGGTTGGAAGTGTTGACGGCTGGATTGGCAGGGTTGGCAGCCCTTCTTGGCCGCGGGCCGACGGCTACGCCGCCGAGACGAGCACCTGGTGAGAGGTGGTCGTGGTGTACGGAGCCGAGAACAAGGTCAAGGATGAAAGGAAAGTACAGAGCGCACTGCTGCACCGCGAGCCGTTGCGGCATTCCAACAGAGAGAGAGAGAGAGGCGGTTGAAAAAATAA